CAAGTGCAGCTTTTTACCTCGACGAGAGCGGACGAGTTTCGGGCACGAAGCTCTGGCAGATTATTTGTATTATAAATGTACAATAACATATCGATGTCTAGCAATCAATTAAACTAATACATTGTGTTTCATTTGTCGTTTAATGAGATGTAATACGTGTTTGTGGCAAGAATTTTCACGTGACGAAATACAGAGATCTGTTATACAGATCGAAATACAGAGACACACAAGTATTTCATTAGTCCAGTGGCAGAACTTTTGCCATGCGTGACAGAGGTTCTGGGTTCTCCGCACTCGTATCATTTTTTTTTTCTCTCTGATTAAAACCGATTATGTTTGTCAGTTGTATGTTTGTGTGCATTTTACTTTGTGATTTCACCGGATCGAATATAGTCTCCACAACGGATTAAAGCGCGAGTCCGTGTGAAGACGAGCCAAAAGAGAACTGTATCCACGCCACTGATCGCAGCGGCAACGAGAACTTTGATCACTTGTTTTCAAAAGCAACACATTTCAGCGCTAGATCGCCTCTTATTTAAAGAAACAAACTAAATGAATGCTCTGCTAGTTAACTAGAGATGATTTATGTATAATTTACATCCATGCCACGAGAGATGTTTCAAAAGTGGTGGGGACAATATCGATCCTGGCTAAAAGTGGTGCGATTCAGTAATCTCGATATCTGTAAAAGTAAAAACGTATAATAGCTGTAGTAAAACATATTCAAGATAGTTTCACATGTAATATGTAGCTTTTTCATACAATTCAAGCATGTCAGCCAATCACAGCAGTGGGCGGTTACATTGAATCCCACAGCAGACACGGCCCTTCTAACAGAGCGTTCTAAGCAGAGGCTAAAATCTGGCTTGGAAAAATGCCTTTTATTTCTAAATTATGACTATTTTTGATCTAAAAAACATACTAACATTATAAGGGCAACCCAGCAAACATTATAAAATAATAATAAAAAAAACCATGTCAGGGGACCTTTAAAGACACTTCATGTCAGAAAGGTTCTATGTACAAATAAATTATTTAAATGATTGCATTATATTTGCATGTTTAAAGGTTTGGTAACACTTAACTTGAAGGGGTGTGCATAAGACTAACATGATAACTTCATAATCATGACATGACATGTTATGAATATGAAGGAAGTTTTATGCATGTTTATGACAACTGTCATTAAGTGCAATTAATGCAAATATGACATTGTTTGAGATGTCTTTGTAATGACACCTTGAAATAAAAAATACATCATAACTTGTCAGTGTCTTTGTCATGACAACTTGACATTACTAAGACAACACAACCTGTCATAAACATGACATAGCAGATTAATTATCAAACTTATGAAACCACCTAGCTTTATTGGTTAACATTACATTAAACTGTCATGTGGTTGTTTTTGACATTGGCTGTCATGAAGCCATTATAACTTTTTAATGACAAATTCAATGTGTACAACTGTAGTTGAGGTCACAAAAAATATTCATGACAGTTATAATGGCCTCATGACAGCTAATGCCAAAGCCAACCACATGACAGTTTAACTTAATTTTATGTCAAGTTGTCATGACAAAGACACTGACAGGTTATGATGTTATGGTTTATGTCAAGATGTCATAACAAAAACATCTCAAAAAATGTAATATTTGCATTCAAAATGTCATAATTGAGCGAATGACACTTAGGGCCAATCCCAATTCTACCCCTTACCCCTTCACTTTGCCCTAGTCCTACCCCTTCGCCTTCCCCTTGACCCTTGAAACTGAGTGGCAATGCGTAGGGGTGAAAATATTCCCCTAAGAAATGGGACACCACTACGCCTCCGTTAAACGTCATTATAAGTCGTCGCTAGCGCCTACGTCACAGGAGATGCGCCGATGTTTATCACAACTTCCAAGATGCCGTCGACAGCTGCAGTTATCTCAGTTGCGTGGGTTACAGCTATTTTCTTGCATTTATCTTGTGAAGTTCGCAGGAAACAACGGAGACGACGAAAATATGTTGCGGTACTATCGTTAGCAAACTACAGTAATTTTAGCGATTTTTTTACAAACGTTTCTGTGAAGAAACTGACCGTAAATATGAACACAATATTGAATGTAACATAAAGCAAATCATTATTTGTCGTTATAATACTTATTAAAGCCACAAATACTTACATTTATGCGTCTCCTTTTTCGCTTGGGCAGCCATTTTGCATCTGTAGCCTGGGTTAACAGTGACACTTCTCATACCCCTTCATTTGAAGTGTGCTCCCGAAAAATCTTCGTTTGAAGGGCTATCTGGCCCTTTCCCCTAGCCCTCCCCCTCCAACCAAAAGAGAATTGGGACAGCCCTACCCCTTCACGTGGACGCGCAAAACGGAGGGGAAGGGGAAAGTGAAGGGGTAAGGGGTAGAATTGGGATTGGCCCTTAATGACAGTTGTCATAAACATGATGCATAAACCCTACATCATATTCATGACATATGCCATGTCATGGTTATGAAGTTGTCATGCCAGTCTTATTCACACCCCATCAAGTAAAGTATTACCAAATGACTGATAGGAACCCCTAAAAGTCTCCAGACAAACCCTTAAAATGCAAGGGTGTTGTTTTCAGATTTATCCACCCTGGGACCCGGTTTCAAAAAATAGCGGTTTCACGATCCCAAAACGCCGGATCCGTGTGGACGAAACGCCAATACGACAAAAAATGTATACGTATACAGCGAAACGCTTCTTCGTGTGGACGGGCCCTAAGATTCTATATAGAACTTTTAAGAGTGGATTAAAGCTAAACTCAAATGGGACTTTAATCTGATTGTAATAAGATAATATGTCACAACTTGTCGTCTTCAAATCCTATGCTCTCTGACATATGCTTTCTGTGGAATGATCTCAGATTGTTTTGCGCTGAAATATGTGGCTGATGTATGACCATATCGCAGTATCATTCTCTGACATTTAATTGAACAGGAATTATTTCATTTGATTTCTGAAGAAAAGTCCCATTGTTTTTAACTCAGTGCCCTGGAATGTCAAGCAACATTGGAAACGTCACACAAATCACTTTCACACACTCTCTCTGTATTTTGACGTGTCCTTGACATGGTAAGCTCTATTGTGCATTCTTTCAGGAAACTAAGATGATTCAATAGTTTTGTTTTTGGTTTCATTATTACCCCACCCAGATATCGACCCCATTCATAGAACGGGAAGGCTAATGTTTGCATTAAAGGAATTTGTTTCATTTGCATGTTGTTGCCAATTGCAATTCCCACTGACCCCAACAGCAGCAGGAGGAGAAAACGCCTGGAACGTGCGATTCGACACATATAAACACTTTTTTAAAAAAAACACACATAGTCTTAACCTGAACATTTTTTGTATTTCTGGATTTACATGCTCATTTACAAGTCTTAATGTTGTTCTCAGGCTCTACTAGAACAGGTTTTCCTGCTTGAATATTGATTATTCCCCTCATATTCTCCATTGTTGTGGCTCCTCTCTTCCCAGTCTGTCAGTAACGCTCTGGACTGTTTTTCATCAGAAATCAACTAGCTCATCACGACTGATTCCCAAAACCATATTGTCGCATATTGGTCGCTTAACCTTTTTGGTTAATGATATCACGCAGGAGTAATAACTACTTTTAATGAATCTGTTTGAGACTGAATTACTCCTAGATGTTTTGCTCTAAATGGCATTTGAGGAATATTTGAAGAGTTCAGATGCAAAAGCCTCTAAGTGCCATTTGAAATTTTCTTCTAAAATGATCATTTTTATCAAGCTTGTATATTTAAGTTCAGTAATTTCACTTAAATGGCAATGAAGATTACCTATTAATTGTCATTTAAGTGAAACAACTGAACTTAAATATACAGGCTTGATAAAAATTGTCATTTTAGAAGAAAATTTCAAATGGCATTTAGAGGCTTTTGCATCTGAACTCTTCATTTCTAATTTTGTTGTCAGTTATTTTGCTTTATTTCCAGATTCAACCATAGAGTTGTCTCTTAAGCAAAAGAGCACGTTCACACGTGCGCACTCTTCAAAAACGACGGTTAAAATCTCTTGACAAACTCAAAGACGTAAATGACATTTGTATGTGTTCTAAATAAAAGACACTGAATGTCAGCTTGCCTATTTTGCTCAAGATCAGGATTTATTGAGTCCACATGTCATGCAAACATGAAACTCTGCTTCTAACCACATCTCGAGATATATCTCTCCAAACACACAGCTCTGCGATGATCTTTGCCAATGTTCGTTGGAACGATGTTGTCAGGAAACACTCACTCGTTGAACTAATGACGGAACTTGAGACCATAGTTGGCTAACGATGCTTTTGAGAAACACAGTCCTGATTAGTTCTGTCTCTATGAAGCCCCTCCTTCTGAAAAGCACACTGTGCTCTGATTGGTCAGCTGTTCTGAAGTGAACTTCAAGTAGGGAGTAGTGAGCATAGTGCGTAGGGACCCGATCAATCAGAACATTGGATTGAGAACCACTGAATTAAAAGGTTCCATAGACGTTTAAGTTTCTAATTAATTAAATGTCCAAGTATTATACAATCATTAATGACATTTCTCCATATATAGAATCTTTTGGCATAACGTGCTCTTTAAAACTGAGTCAAGAACCCTAGAGATCTATAAGGTTCCCACTGAACTTTTTTTTTTTCTAATATAGTGACCACCAGAATAACTCTTTAATCCATAGGGTTATTCCTGTATAAAACATGACGCTTGCAACACCAAGATCCTGGGATTGATTTCCAAGCAATGCATGAACTGATAAATGTATACAATATAGGCTAAGTGGCTCTGGATAAATAATACATTAAAAATTGATCTAAAAAAAAAAATAAAGCCGCTTTTCCTTCGTCAGGCCAAACCGTTCTCGGTTAGCCAAGCATGCTGAGAATTACTGGGCGGAGAACGGTACAGTATGTAATCATGCAGAGCCGAACCAAGCTCAAGTGGAAATATAATTGGAATTGTTCCTTACCGTTCGGCCCGACCATGCAAAACTAGCTTCAGTTCCTCAGATATCAAACATTACACATCAAGGCCACCCACTCCACATCGCTGAGATTTCACCCCTGAAATCCAAAAATCCACATGAGACAGAGCCAAGAAAACCTTTCACATACAATCCACCACAAAAGCTGTTAATCAAAAAGACATTTAATGAAGAGGCAGCCATACATTATGCTCTGCATTACACAGCATTTCAATGCAAGGCATTCGTAAGGAGAAAAAAAAACAGAACCAGAGCCAAGAAAACCTGCTTTGTTTCTGGTCAAAAGGTAAAATCTCCGTAACAAATGGTAAGACTAACATCAGTGGGAAAATAAATAAATTTTGCAGTGAACGCTGCGTTGAGAGGCGGTACATCCCTTGAGCCATCGTTCTTATTACTGTAGACATTTATAGACCCTTGCAAACTTGATGGAGACGAATGATTATGAAATTTGAGCCCAAGGGTAATTCTGAGCACCAAAATTCGGGGGCATATTCTCTTCAGAATATGACGGTGAACTATTAAATAAGTCATTGCGTCAGTGTTGCTTTTTATTGCTCAGACACAATGGGGTCGGACAACTGTGACTCCTCTTTGTGAGGCCATTCTAACACATTGGAGACTTAAAACCATTAACCTAAATGCAAAACATGCATTGCATGACAGATCGACACATCTTTGCTGGAAGGCTAAGAATTTGCTTTATGACTTTAACCATATATCATACATCACACATCCAAAATATGAACTGCTAAAAACCAGAGCTGCTTGACTCTCATGATGGGCTGGGATGGGCTATAATTTTTGGTTTACAGCTAAACATTTTCACACATTCAGACAAAATGTATTCCAACAGCTAGTGTTCTTTGCCATTGTGGCTATTTACCTGCAGCCAATTTATCTGTGTTCACAAAACCCTTCAGACTACGAGTCAGCGTGGCAAGAACCACCGTATGCACACAGAGACATGTCATAAATTACAGGAAAGTTGCTGACCACTAAAATAACTTTCCTCTGTTTTGCCACTGAACTCTACAGGAGTGACGGATCATGTCCACAGACTTCACTCCTATTTGTTGTCACTCCTGAAAGTCATTTAAATAAAGAGAAGCATATCTCAACTTTGTCTAGCCAACGCCTGCCAAGAGAGCATAACAAGTCCAGTCTGGAGAGAACAAAAGCTTGGATAAGAGTTGTGTAGCTCTGATAGGAAGGGCTTGATCCTCCTAATGTTGTATAAGGCAAAACTAGCAATGTGGACTGTGAAGTTTAACTGATCGTCAATCACAACTCTGAGGTTCCTGGCCGTCCTGGGTGGAGTTATGGTTGACGAACCTACCTGATGGAGAAGCAGTGATGAAGTACTGGGTTGGCTGAGAGAATGAGCGGTTCTGTCTTCGCAAGGTTTAGCTGAAGGTGGTGGTTCTTCATCCGGCAAGATATGTCTGTCAGTAAAGTCGAGTTGTCAACAGCTACTATTGGATCATCATGCTGGAATGACAGGGAGAGTTGTGTGTCATCAGCATATCTGTGATAGGAAAAAACATGTTTTTTGAATGACAGATCCTAATAATATAATGTAGATGGAGAAGAGAAAAGAAGTGGGCCCAGCACCGAGCCCTGAGGCACTCCAGTAGCTAGATGAAAACAGTGATGGGGAAAATCCATGTTTTTGAAAATCCATATTTCTGAATGACAGATCCTAGTGATGTAATGAAGAAGAGAAGAGAAGAGAAGAGAAGAGAAGAGAAGAGAAGAGAAGAGAAGCAGGCCCAGCAGAGAGCCCTGAGGCACTCCAGTAGCTATATGATAACAGTGATGGAAAAATCCATGTTTTTCAAAATCCATATTTCTGAATGACAGATTCTAGTGATGTAATGTAGATGGAGAAGAGAAGTGGGGCCAGCACCGATTCCTGAGACACTCCAGTAGCTAGATGATAACAGTGATGGAAAAATCCATGTTTTTGAATGACAGATCCTAGTGATGTGATGTAGATGGAGAAGAGAAGAGAAGCAGCCCAGCTCTGAGCCTGGAGGTACTCCAGTAGCTAGATGATAACAGTGATGGAAAAAATCCATGTTTTTGAATGACAGATCCTAATGATGTAATGCAGAAGAAGAGAAGAGAAGCGGGCCCAGCACAGAGCCCTGAGGCACTCCAGTAGCTAGATGATAACAGTGATGGAAAAATCCATGTTTTTGATAGACAGATCCTAGTGATGTAATGTAAATGGAGAAGAGAAGAGGACCCAGCACCGAGCCCCGCAGCACTCCAGTAGCTAGATTGTAACAGTGATGGAAAAATCCATGTTTTCTAAAATCCATATTTCTGATTGACAGATCCTAGTGATGTAATGTAGATGGAGAAGAGAAGAGAAGCGGGCCCAGCACCGAGCCCGGAGGCACTCCAGTAGCTAGATTATAACAGTGATGGAAAAATCCATGTTTTTGAATGACAAATCCTAGTGATGTAATGTAGATGGAGAAGAGAAGCGGACCCAGCACCGAGCCCTGAGGTACTCCAGTAGCGAGATGATAACAGTGATGGAAAAATCCATGTTTTTGAATGACAGATCATAGTGATGTAATGAAGATGGTGAAGAGAAGAGAAGCGGGCCCATCACCGAGCCTTGAGGCACTCCAGAAGTTTGATGTTGCTTTGTTACTTTTCTTTTTCAGTCTGGACCAAAAGAACCAAGAGAACTTAACTACAAGTGTGAACAAACCCTAAGAAACACTTACATTTACATTTATTTAAGACACTTTTTTGAAGAGAGTAAAAAATAAAATTAAGGCCCGGGCTTAGATAAAGTCAGGATTAGGTCTTAGTTCAATTAGGGCATTTAATTTTTGCAAGCATTTTCTGTCGCAAATCAAACCCAGATTGACTAGGTTTACTGAGCAGGGACTGTTGACTGTTCAATCACCCTATTGCTCTTGTACAGGGGTTTACAGACATTTTGATGCCCCAAAATATGATGATCCCCAATGTGAGAGACCCTCTTCCTAAAATAGTATAAATACATTTGTATGCATTATTGTGTCTTATTTGTTAATAGAATAATACAACTTGATTATTCATGCTTTGGTGTGCATCTTGATACAAAACAATTGATCTGACATATTTTAAAGGGCACCTATTATGCCCCTTTTTACAAGATGTAATATTGGTCTCGGGTGTCTCCAGAATGTATTTGTGAAGTTTCAGCTCCAAATACCCCACAGTTAATTTATTATAATCATTTGAAAATGTCATTTTTGGGGCCTGTTTTAAAAATGAGCTGTTTTGGGCTATACGACCTTAAATGCAAATGAGATGCATATCCCCGCCCTGCCTTTGGATGAGGGCGTAACTTGATACCTATGGCAGTCGGTAAGCAGAAGGGCTGAGAGAGTGAGAGAGACCCGCTGTTTTGAATGTCATTCAGCATGTTTGAATCGGAATATACTTCGGAAGAATAAACACAACTGAGAAAGGACCAGTACGTCTCGGTATGTTTATTTGATACATTTATGTTTATAGAGTTGCGTCCCCTTTGAAATTATGGATGTGCAACACACACACACACACACACAGACACACAAACACTAACGTTTGCGCAATTTTTTGAAACTACATACTGTGAAAAAATTTGCTACATACAAGCGAAGTTACATTTATGCCAGGGACCTGTTGCGTCATGTTTACTTGTCATACAGGTGCTTCTGTGGCAAATGTGAGAAGATGGCTAACTTACAGAACAAGAACATATATGCAGTATCTTTAAAAATATATATTTATAAACGTGTGGTTACACACTATACAAACAAGGTTTAAATTAAATAGACATCCTACGACAACAACTTTAGACGCATTTGTTGTTGAATTGGCTGACATGGACTGAAATGATTCTTTGCTCAAAAATCATAAAATACACTTACTGTTACTGGAGGTGACGTTGGATCGCAAACAGTAGACGGCGATCCACGCTTGAGGATTAACTTTGAAGCAAGACCTGCTTTGAATTGACCCTCGTTCACTAAATAGTCAGTCAGAAAATTATTCGCTCAAACATAAACTTATTTTCGAAGGAAAGGCGCCACTTAAACTTCCAAAATACAGTACATCCACTGTGTTTTCAGTGGCTCTAATGTTGGAAGTAAGTAAAAACTACTAGCTATGTACAGTATGTCATTATTACATCCCATCCCACAACATAACACTTATGTTTCCTGGCTGTTGTTGAAATAATGGAGGATGGTGTACAGCTCACTGAGGGCGGGGTCTATGCCACAACCACACTGTCAATCAAACCCCTTGCTCAATTCTATGTCACAAAGCGCTGAATCTTAGAGCAGCTCGTTCTGAGACAGTGCATTTGATTTATTGAGATTGTGAAAAAAAAAAAAAACACTGGGTGGATTTTTTTTATTCTAGGGTGGTTTTGCTCACACACCATGTAAAAGTGAATTTTCCTTAATAGGTGCCCTTTAAGATATGTCAGTGCAAGTTGCTTTCAGTTAAAACCACTTAAACATGCATATTAGTCTGTGACTAGGCTTAAGCCTTGTCTGTGGAACCGGGGGTATGAGATTGCATTAGAATAAAGTTAGTGTTAGCTTAATTTCTTTTATATTCAGTGTTTATTTAAAAAAAAAAAAAAAAAACTGAATGAAACATTCACATGTGCATATGGCACTAGAAACTGTTACCACAACACCTTTCAGCATTTTTTAAAGTTGAAAATAAACTAAATGTCCATCTGTGGTTACTCACAAAATATGTCATATCATACTCATGTTTGCAAAGACTTTTAGCATGAAAAAATAAATAAAACTTTTAGCATGAAAAAATAAATAAAATCTAATTTGCGAGGAGAAAAAGCACAAATGCCCCAACACATGGTGTATAACCCTGTGACCTCGGGTCAGGCAATCAAACTGGCTTGTATTTGTTGATCTTAGTTTTCTGACAGTTTACCAAACTAGGAGCTTGTTAGCGAGAACATTTCCTAGTTTGCACAGATGGGTGACTATGTTACTTGTTTAAAAAAATCAAATTGACAGGCTCTCAAAACTAGCTGGAGCCCTGATGTTTGCTTACTGTCCAAAGCCCACACATAAAATACATAAATTGCTTAAATTTTTGCTGGAAAAACAACACAACAATTATTTAAGTAAGTAGTGAGCACACATTACAAAATAACTCTCAGGACACTTTATGTCTATTGAACTATTGAACTAAGGTGAACTATTAATTATACTATTACACTAGATTATTTACTTGTTTTTCCCATTTAGAAGATTTAGTGTTTAGTCTTTTTAATAGTAAAATGATTAAAAATCAGACAATAAACTTTAAGCGACGCAAAATAAAAACTATTTTAAACATTTGTAATCTCAAAGATTCAAAGGTCAAAGATTGCAGTGAAAAAGCGAATAAAAGTCTTTCAAAGATCATTCTTTCAAAACTTGAAACAGATCATATCCTGCAAGAGGAAGGAAAACAAAGAATAGATTTCCTATTTTCCAGAAAGAGGTTTGGATCTGATCACTGACATTTTAAAAACATCAATCTCTAGCAGGAAAGAAAAGATGATTGATATAAACACATGCAGAGCACTGAGGAGATCATGGGCGAGATATTTTGACTCATTGTGAGCAGATCGAATGCAGGTAAAGGAGAAAAGGCAAGGAAAAGTGCAATAATAATTCTGATATTTCCGTCCAAAAGCAAAGTGTGTTATCAATACGGTCCAGATATGCTCCTCCATCAATATTCTCAAAGCACAGTCCAACATTTGCTTTTGAGGGTAGCTTTTATTTGATTTCTTCTGTTTTTTATCCAATTTACTTATGCAATTATTTTGATAACATGTTTTACATTTTGTATTGAGTATTTGAATGTGCTTTTCTTTTATATTGTTGTATTTCTTTTATTTTTTCTTATTTTTGTGAAGCGCTTTGAGATGTAACTTTTAAAGGTGCTATAGAAAATTAAGTTTATTATTAATGAAACCACAGATTCCATTTGTTATAAAGTTGAGTTAGAAACCAAACTTTGACTTCCATAGTATGAAAGAAATAAATAAAAATACTATGGAAGACAATGGGGACCAAAAATAGCAAATTCTGGTCTGATAACCAACATTCTTAAAAATACCTTTTTTTTTTTTATGGAGCAAAGAAACTCATACAGGTTTAGCACAACTTGAGGGTGAGTAAATGAGGACAGAATTTACATTTTTGGTTGAATTGCTGCTGTACAACACAAGATCATTTGGATTAATTATTTGGCACCATATTTTGTCAAACAGCCAGAGATCTGAAAATAATGTGTCAGTGTGTCAGAGGGGGAATCGCTTTGGCAATAACACTGCACTTTAAAAGACGAGAGGTCAAGGCTACTCTCCCGTTCTGTGCATCACAGGGGTAACAGCATCAGATCCGAAAACTCGGAGACGTCTTTGATGTGCGGGAAACACTCGAGTCGGCCTGGAATCTGAAATA